GCATCAGCATCGTCATCACCATCATCAGCATCATCAGCATCATCAGCAGCATCATCAGCATCACCATCAAGGTCCACCATAACTTATCCTCGGCAGCAGTGTCAGCATCGTCGTCGAAGGAATCATCACCATCACCATCATCATCAACAACAACGGTATACCACCACCGCTACCACGCCAGCATCGACGTCATCATCATCGCATCATCATCATCATCATCAGCATCATCATAATCATCAGCCAGCACCAGCAGCACCAGCATTATGATCATCAGCAGCATCATCATTATAATCATAATCATCAACAAAGGCATCATCCGCAGCAGCATCATCATCGTCATCGTAATCAGTAGCAGCATCACAATCACCATCGTCATCATCTTCATCAGCATCAGAATCGGCATCATGATCGCCAGCCCATCATCAAAATCATCGGTATCGTCATCATAACCATCGTATTCATCATCCGTAACATCAGCAACACCAGCATCAATCGCAGCCGCATCTGCAGCAGCAGCCTCATCATCCTCGTAAGCATCACCAGCACCTTCATCATCAACATCATCGTCGGCATCTGCATCATTATCGTCGTCACCATCACCATCATAATCATCTGCATCATCATCAAGAGCATCACTGGCAGCATCATCATCCCCAACACCATCCCCATCAACATCATCATCATAATGAGCAGCATCAGCAGCATCATCATCAGCATCATCAGCTTCATCATCATCATCATCAGCATCAGCATCACCATCACCATCACCATCATCATCATCATCATCATCATCATCATCATCATCATCATCGTCGGCATCATCATCATCATCAGCATCAGCATCAGCATCAGCATCAGCATCAGCATCATCATCATCATCATCATCATCATCATCATCATCATCATCTGCATCAGCATCCTCATAATTCTCATCATTCTCAGCACGGTTCTCCCAAGCCTGGAGGCACGAGGTGTCACACATGACGGCATCCTGTGCCCCACTGGACAGCCGCCACCCAGAATGCTGGGCTGGCACGGTGGTTGGACGTGCCGCAGGCAGCTGGAAGCTGGACGACACATGTTTCATCATGCCCACGAACTCACGATCCACAAGGCGTCCCACACGGCGACCTTACATGTCCATCGGCTTCCGCGATCGACCTGATCATCCGAAAGTCGCTGTCGACGGCTGAGGTCAACCCTCCTCCTCCTCGAAGTCGGCGGCCACGCCCCTCCCGGAAGGCGCTCCGACCCGGACGTCTGAGCGGACCGGCCGTGGCGACGCGGCCCCCCCCACAGGAGCCCAAACAAAGTCTGATCGGCCCGCGAAGCCGGAAAAGGGTGGAGAACTGCGAGGCACGGAACCGCTTCTGAGGCCGCACATGACACTGTGCGACGCCATGGGGGACCTGCCAGGGGGGCGCGCCGCGGAACGTCCCAAAGCACGCGCCGCGGGACGTGCCGGGGGACGTGCCATGGGGACGCACCGCGGGACGTGCCACGGGGACACGCTACGGAAGTTGCCAATGGAGGTGCCTTTTGACGTGCCAGGGGACAACGCCGCGCGACGTGCCAGGGGGACTGGGGGACTCGCCACGGGACGCGCCACGGAACATGCCAGGGAACGTGCCAGGCGACGCGCCAGGGGACGTGCCAGGGAACGCGTCAGGGAACGTGCCGCGAGATCCCTCGTAAATCCGCCGGCCCCCTTGTGGGCCACCAGGCTGCGAGGCACGGGTTCGCAGTTTCCAGTACCAGTTGTAGCTTGTAGTTTCCAGTGTTACAGTTCTGCTTCTTGCTGGTTACTGTAACTAGTTGATTGACCGCGCGAGGGGGGGGAGGCCCAAACAGGATTTTTAGCACCCCCTGGGCGCGTTGTCTGAATTGCTGGGGGGGCTCGAAATCGACACCCCTCACGCAGATCCGCGGGGTCAGGGTCCAAAAACACATGGGATTTGCCACATTTCTGAAATTCGGTGCCACCCCTCACGCAGATCCGCGGGGTCAGGGTCCAAAAACACATGGGATTTGCCACATTTCTGAAATTCGGTGCCACCCCTCACGCAGATCCGCGGGGTCAGGGTCCAAAAACACATGGGATTTGCCACATTTCTGAAATTCGGTGCCACCCCTCACGCAGATCCGCGGGGTCAGGGTCCAAAAACACAGGGGATTTGCCACATTTCTGAAATTCGGTGCCACCCCTCACGCAGATCCGCGGGGTCAGGGTCCAAAAACACAGGGGATTTGCTACATTTCTGAAATTCGGTGCACCCCTCACGCACGCAGATCCGCGGGGTCAGGGTCCAAAAACACAAGGGATTTGCCACATTTCTGAAATTCGGTGCCACCCCTCACGCAGATCCGCGGGGTCAGGGTCCAAAAACACAGGGATTTGCCACATTTCTGAAATTCGGTGCCACCCCTCACGCAGATCCGCGGGGTCAGGGTCCAAAAACACAGGGGATTTGCGACATTTCTGAAATTCGGTGCCACCCCTCACGCACATCCATCGCAAGGCGTGGTAACCCAAACTGCGAGTACTCCCTCGGCCCTTTAATCCCAAGGTGTGGTAACCAAGCTCGTAAACCATACACGTCTTACCAATCGCCCTGTGTGGTAACCCCTCTTGTGATCAGTTGGTTTTGCCGATTGCGAATCGGCCTCGCATGAAGTTCCGATACTGCTGCACGACAGCGCCAAAGCCTCATGACTTAGCTCTTCCATGGCCCATTCTCCGAGAGAGGGGGCCGGCGGCAGGGGGCGAAGCCCTTACGGATTACCCTGCGTCCGCGCCCCCAGGGCCACGATACCTTGTAAATTACACTGCGTCCGCTCTCCCTGGGCCACGATCCCTCGTAAACTACGCTGCGTCCGCGCTCCCTGGGCCACGCTCCTTCGTGGATTACGCTGTGTCCGCGCTCCCAGGGCCACGTTCCCGAATCAATTCAACTGTGTCCGCCCCCCGGGCCATGATCCCTCCCTCGTAAAGCACGCTGCGTCCGCACTCCCAGGGCCACGATCCCTCGTAAATTACGCTGCGTCCGCGCTCCCATGGCCACGACCCCTCGTAAATTACGCTGGGCCCGCTCTCCCTGGGTCACGATCCCTTATCAATTACGCTGCGTCCGCGCTCCCAGGGCCAGGATCGTTGCAAAACAAGCGTTTCGCCCGAGACATCATCTGAAGCGCAGGGTGCGCTATCCTCGAGCGGGGCACACAAACAACCATCCTTTATTCTGCAAAAAAGCGCGGGGCTCGAAACATCCTCGAGATTCCTGCGCGCGGGACGCGCCATCGTCGAGCGGACACTCAAACAGTCAACTGTTCCATATCTGTTTTTACACATTAGGGTCCCCATACCTCTTGTTGATTCTGCACAAAGCTCTCCGCACACCCTTTTCACTTGGGAAAACGTGTGTCTGCGGACCCCGCTATTTATCGAGGATCCGAGATAAGGGGGGCACATTTTCTTCGAGCGGGCACACGCGAAATGCCTTTTCTTCAACAACCAATCATACTTTACACCGTAATTAACTTCGCCTTCCCACTTCAAGTCGAAACCGAGGGTGAAACCTCTAAAAGAGAACTCTGGGCCCCAGCCCTCTCTGAGAACAGAACATCCAAATCCGCCGATCCGGCGTGTGAGTTTCTGAGAGCGTGGGCTTGAGCTCGCTCAGACTTCGCTCTGGGGGGGGTCGGGATCCGGCGAATTATCCACGCAATTCACTGAACGCTCCAGCGCGGGGAGGGGGGTCCCAGAATCGAGGGAGGGGGGGGAGCTCGAGCGAGGACGGGGGGTGGGGGTCGAGCTCGTTGACCCGGTCGTCGGTCGTCGTCGTCGTCGTCGTCGTCACCGTCCGTTCCCACACGCATCGGGAGCGCCCCGGATCGGCGGCACTGTCCGGAGGCCATTACAATCAATCCACGTCGCTCCTCCCCCTCCACACCCCGAGTGGGGAGGTCCTTGATGACTCCAGCGAGCAGCCCCGTCTCAGACGCTGCGCCCATCTTTTTCATCATGTCCATGGCGCCCTGGGGTCGTCTGGACATGGCGCATCAAGAGCAATGGCGGGCACGGCAGGAGATAGCACGAGAGGGAGCGCGCGGAGGCATGGGAGGGCGGAGGGAGGCAGGCGAGGGGGGAGGCGCTCCAACTCGCTCTCCTCTATCCCCCTCTTTATCCCTCCTCCCTCGTCCCTCCCTTATCGCTCCTGTCCTCCTCCTCCATCTCCCCATCTCACCCCTCCCCCTCTGCATCCCCCTGCCTCAGCCCTGGGGGCGCGTGAGGGAGGAAGAGGAGAGCGGGAGGCCACAGTAGCCATAAGATTGACAGGACGTATATTCGGCGCGGACATCCCGCATGCGCTTCCCTTGTCTGGGGCGTTCCTTCGTGCGTGAGACTGAGTGTCACTGAGCCTGGCTGTGAGTTTGACTAAGAACAGATCAAGATGAGTGCGAGTCTGAGTACGAGAGGATCGGCATGAGTGGGTGCGAGTATGAATACTACATTGGAATGAGAGCGGGTCTGGACACTGGTGGATCTGAGCGTATGGAGATATGAGTACGAGCTGATTTGGGTATGAGTGAGCCTGAGTACGAAGGACTCATGGGTACTATTGAATCTGAATGTGAGCGGGTCCGAACATGAGTGCGTCTGAGTGCGTAGGCCCAGCGGCTTCGTCCGGCTGCCTTCCAGGGGAAGAGGAGCGTCTTCCGGCGGTCCAGAGGCCCCTGACGGCGGCACAGGGGGCTTCTTCCAGCGGATGCCTCCTCCAGAGGCGTTGCCCGGAAGCCCAGAGGAAGGGACGAGGGAGGGAGGGGGAACGAGAGGAAGGAGGAAGGGGAGCAGAGGAGGGGAGAGTGAGGAGGGAGGGAAGTGCGGAAAAGAGGTGGAAGAAGAAGAAGAAGAGGACGAGAGCAGCAACCTGATTCTGCCTCTTCATCATCTCTGCCATCTGCTTCTCCAGAGCCCGCTGCTTGTCGATGGCCTCCTTGTCCTGGGGGGGCCGAGGAGTCTCAGAGGGGAAGGAACTCCAGAGGGGAGAGGGGGAGCACGAGATCAGAGGCTTGCGATAGAGGGAGAGGGGAGAGGGCGTGCGATATTGCACGAGAGGGGAGCACGAGAGGGGGAGCACGAGAGAGGGATCAGCGGAGGCGCGCGTGCGAGATATGTTGCTGGCCTGCCTTCCAGGGCACTCTGCGGGTCCTGGGCCCCCCCGGAGGCACTGCCCCGGCACAGGGCTTCTTCGGAGATTTCGGGGGGCGTCCATTGGAGGGGGGGGGCCTCCCTTGGAGGGGGGTGCAAAACAGGTCCGGCGGCAGGTGCGCGGCCCGGGGGGGGGGGGGGCCGGGGACGTATGGAACCGAGAAGGGGCGCCATGAGATCCCAGGAGATATCGTGACCCCCGCCATGACATCCAGACCCCCCTAGTCATCACCCCCCTCGCTGCCGCCCACGATGAGTCGTTCTTGGACGGTCCCAGGCCCCGGGGAGGAGGACCCCTTTCCGTGGGGATGTGCATTGCCCATCGGTCGTAAGAAGTAGGTAGAAACATGAAGTAGGAATTCGTTGAAAGCAGATCGGGTGTTCGCCCACCCCACAAAGAGGACGGCAAAAGGTGAAGCCACTCGATCATTGAAGCAGGATGGCGCCTAAAGTGGACTGGAGTCTGGGGATGCAAAAATACCTACTTTCAACGACCGATGGGTATGGTGACTGGTCTGAAACGGAGGTCTCCACCCAACCCAAACTTGGTGGGCCTGTCTTCCACCACCACCACCATAAGTTGGAAGGGGGGAAGGAGGAGGAGGAGGAGGAGGAGGAGGAGGCGGAGGAGGAGGAGTAGGAGGAGGACCCCCCGGTGGTGGTGGAAAACAGGCCCATCAAAACTCGCGGTCACAAATGCCTGAGGCCGCGCAGCACGGACGAATCTGCCCATTGTCCACTGCCGACATGCCGTGCCCCTCCCGTGCGCCCGACGCTGGCAACGAGAGCGGCGCGCCAGCGCACCTTGCCATCGTCTTCAAGGCGTGCCCGCGGAACCCGCAGACCACGGCGGCGTCACCCAAGCTGGCGCGGAGCGGATCGCCCGGAACTCACCGTGGAACATCATCCGCGGCGCTCACTGCCAGAACTCTGCGGAGGCACGGACCCCCGCACTGGCAGCTCATCTCCCCACATCGAATCATGGCGACTCCAAGCTCGGCCAACCGACCGAGATACCCGCAGCGGATCCGCCCCACCTGTGCCCGGGCCGGGTGCAGACGGACCTGGGCCAGAAGAACACCCTTCAAGAACATGAGACCCTCCGTCGGCCAAAACAAGCAGAATATCCAAGAGTACCCTCCCCAGGATGCACAGTAGCATCCAACAACCACGAAGAACACTAGAGTTAGGGCGGGCATGTCCCCTTACAGACGGATTCTGGACGAAAGCATAAACAAAGTGAGAAAATACGCCAAAATAGCCAAAACAGTTTTTCGCTGAAAAATAAAACCCCCTGACTGTGTCTTGACCATCCTGGAACCTTCCCCCTGTGGAGGGACAGTGGGGAAACCAAAGGGTACCGATACCGCCCCTGCCCCTGGCCCTCTCTGGGGGCGCGCTCCGACCAGCACTATCGAGGCGCACCCAGCAGTGGCGACGAGATCCTGCGAGGAGGCCCCCAAAGAAAGGGAAGACGGCCGAAGGGCAGAGGCACGGGCCCCTTCTCCTCTGAAGGGGCCCTGGGACACACAAACAACTGCACACACACACACACACACACACACACACAAATAACCGGATCCCCCATATTTTCGCACATGTTCTGGGCTTCTGTCTTCCCCCCCACTTCCCATATTCTCCCACATCTTCCTGGGAGTCGACGATTAATTGTGTCTGTGTTGTTGTTCCCCCTCTTAATCCTCCTCTGGGACAGGCCCGACCTCACACCGGAGAGCAAGGGCGAAATGGGGAATAGCAAAGGGGGGGTTTGAGAATCAGCTCACGTAGCTGATTTTCCCGGCGCCTCCCGGCGCCGGAGGCGGCCATGTATCGAGGAATGGGCCCCTCAGTGAGGCCGAAACCAGCTGCACGCAGCAAATTTCGTACCCCCCCCTTTCCCAATCCCCCCCTTTCGCCCGGCCCGATTCTCCTCCTCCGGGACAGGCCCGACCTTCGGGGATCTTCTGACCCGGGTCAATCCAGACCCGGGTCAGCAGGAAACCAACAACTGCAATGCAGGGAAAAAAAACTGCAACGAGGTCTTCGCAAACCCGGGTCAGCCAATAGGCGCGGCCGCCTCGCGGCCACGAGCGGCTCGCTAACCCGGGTCAGCCAGAGGGGGTCTTCGCAGGATCCTGCAGGATCCGGCGCCCTGGCTGACCCCCGTCTGCACTGAACCCCGTCTCGAGGCTCCAGAGACCTCACACCGGAGAGCACCCCAGCCCTCGTCGCCCCGACCGCACTCTGCCAGGCCAGGCGCGCAGCTCCTGCAGCGGGCCCCGCCCAGCGCCCCAGCGGCGCCCCCTGGGAGCCCCCCCCCCACGGGCAAGCAGGTGGGCCCGTGGTCCACCACCACCACCACCAGTTGGAGGGGGAGGGGGTCCTCGTCCTCCTCCTCCTCCTCCTCTCCTCCTCCTCCTCCTCCTCCTCCTCCTCCTCCTCCTCCTCCTCCTCCTCCTCCTCCTCCTCCTCCTCCTCCTCCTCCTCCTCCTCCTCCTCCTCCTCCTCCTCCTCCTCCTCTCCTCCTCCTCCTCCTCCTCCTCCTCCTCTCCTCCTCCCTCCGACCTCCTCCTCCTCCTCCTCCTCCTCCTCTCCTCCTCCTCCTCCTCCTCCTCCTCCTCCTCCTCCTCCCTCCTCCTCCTCCTCCTCCTCCTCCTCCTCCTCCTCCTCCTCCTCCCTCCTCCTCCTCCTCCTCCTCCTCCTCCTCCTCCTCCTCCTCCTCCTCCTCCTCCTCCTCCTCCTCCTCCTCCTCCTCCTCCTCCTCCTCCTCCTCCTCCTCCTCCTCCTCCTCCCTCCTCCTCCTCCTCCCTCCTCCTCCTCCTCCTCCTCTCCTCCTCCTCCTCCTCCTCCTCCTCCTCCTCCTCCTCCTCCTCCTCCTCCTCCTCCTCCTCCTCCTCCTCCTCTCCTCCTCCTCCTCCTCCTCCTCCTCCTCCTCCTCCTCCTCCTCCTCCTCCTCCTCTCCCCACTCCTCCTCCTCCTCCTCCTGCTCCTCCTCCTTCTCCTCCTCCTCGTCCTCGCGGACGTCCCGAGTCTCAATGTGGGCCCTGTGTGTGGCGTTGAGCCAATACCAAGGCCGCCGGATCGTCACCTTCTCAAGGCTAGCGGTCGACGTGGGCCACCCTTTCCGCGGCATCGCTGCCGGGTGCGGTTTTGTCATTTTTGCAGTGCAAGCCTACACCATTGAGCCTTTCGATAATTGGTCAGCACGGAATGAGCAGTTAGCGTTCTCCCTTTTCATCGACGACCTTCTTTCGGGGATCACGGGATCCACCATGGAAGAAGTGGTCGAGTTGTTGGTAAAGAGAGCTGCTGAGATATATGTTGTGATTACGCGCGACCTGCCCTGCTCTGTCGCTGCGGCCAAGTCCGTCACGATTGCAAGCCACCCGCAGCTACAGAAGAAATTGACCGTTCCGCTTGGCGTCCACGCTGGCTCGGTAGCATCTTCGGGGAAAAAAATGGGCATTGATTTTGCAGCGGGCAACCTCCGCAAATTCAAATCTAGCCGACCAGTCCTGCAGGATCGCACGCGTAAGTTGAAGGCCGCACCCGGCGGCTGTTCGCCATCCGCCGAGCAGGTGCGGACTTGCGGAAGATCTGCACGGCGGGCTTAGATCAGTTCGGCATGTGTGGAGTTGGCGTGACAGGTGCCGACCCCGCAGAGCTGTCTGCTGCTCAGTCCCTCTTCCTCAGATTGGCATGTGCCCGAGGGAGCGCCCGCTCTCGTTCGGTCTCCCTGGCTGCGCACGCCGACCCAACTTGGCGCCAGGGCCTAGCACCCGCCCTGCTCGGGTCAGAGATAGTGTGGAGAGCGAGTGCAGACCACTCCCAGTCCAACCCTTACCCGCTTTCCCGCCTTCTCCGGCGTGCTCAGCCCATCTTTTCGAAGCCTCCCGAGGCATGGTCCCAGGTGAGAGGCCCTTTTCGTGCCGCAACCCTATCCCTCGGCCGCATCGGCTGGAGTTCCCATTCGCCTCTCATCTTTCACGACCCATGAGGGGGGCGCTGGCCTTCGACGGCTTTCTCACCCCAATTCCTTGAGCTGAAGCTGCGAAAGCAGTGGGCGCAGCGGCACGCCTCCACTATAGCTCAAAAGATGGATATGCCTGCCAGCACGAATCTAGATGTCAGCATCGCCAGGCGTCTCGTCGCAGAGCGCAGCTTATCCAAGCACGAAAGCGGCTTATTGCTGTCGTTTCTATGCCAGTCGTTGTGGACGGCCCAACAGCTGCGCCAGGCAGGGTACGACGTTGACCCCAGGTGCATGTGCGGAGATCTCCGACTCGATCTCGCATAGGCTCCATCGGTGCCCGTGCACTCGCAATCTTCGAGACGAGATGCTCACGGAAGAAGAGCGGGCGTTGATTTATGATCCACATCGGAACTTTCCATTCGTATGTGGTTTTCAGGAACGGCCAGAGCCAGTTGACACCCCACCCATGGGGACAGGCACGTGCACTTTTCAATACTGGTGCGCGCGGGAGGGCATCCCAATCGAGGAAGCCTTCACAGATGAGGTCTTCACCGATGGGTCTTGTTTCAAAGAGGGCCCAGCTACCTTCCACGCCGCTGGAGAGTCTGCCGTAAATATTACACCCTCCAGGGAGCTGTTCGCTGCTATGTGGGGAGCGGTGGGCTCAGATTACCCCCGAACGTCCCCAGCAGCTGAACACATCGCAGTGTTGGCGGTGATGCAACGCTGCCCCCGCGTCCGAATCATATACTCAAACTTTATCAGCCTCGTCAAGATGGCCGACGCGCCATGGGACACGGTTGCGTCTAGGCAGCATG